AATTACTATCTTATATTATTTTTTAGCACTTACCTCAAAAGGATTTATATCAGCCTGCCTTAACGACTCCGTTTCCTTAGATTTAATTACTATCCTATCGGTGACTTTGGTTGCTTCTAGTATAGCTTTTATGCGTCGTTCAATGGGTATTTGTTCAAAAACCATGATATTTCACTTGCGCATAATTTTAAAAAACTTTCACAAATTTTAGTTTAAAATGTTGCCTTCCATAGTGCATTGGATAAAGCAGATAGGAAGTGCATTTTTACTGTCCTTTGTGCAAAAAAATGTTTACTTGACAAATAAATATACTTTTATTCTGTTTGAGATTTAATACAAAAATATTGGCTATTTTTATCAAATTTATAGCAATTTAACTTTAATTCAAGGCGCACTAAAAGAAGTCAAAAACACTAGATTTCGTAAAATGCCGGTGTACTATGACAAACTAATATATATACTGATGCTAAATACTTAGTTTTTATTAATTTAGCATTAATTAATTTATGTGCATTGTTTCCCTTCACGTGTTTTTGCGGCTAACTTGAATCGCGCTTACTACTCCACCTAATTGCTGACGCGGCTTATTTGCCGCAATGATGAATGCGCTAAGAAAAGAGGTGAAGGATGAAGAAGGTCGGTATTTTTTTTAAATATTTGTTTATTGAATTTCCCTTTATCATTTTTTATATCTATTCTACCTTAGGTTTCGGACAGGCATATTTACAACTGGAAAAAACTACTGTGATACAAGAAGTAACCGGCCTTGTATTTTTTTAATTCTAAAGGCCCGCACATTTAATGAGGCTCCGCTTAATCCGCGCAGATGCATCAGGATTTTGACAAAGATCTTGGTTATACTGAGTCGAGTATGATTTTACTTGTTATAATCCATTTTAAATAGGGGGAAAAACTAACGAAAAATGAAGCAACCGACACGTTTTTTGCCATGACGAAATTGTTTCAGTCTAATCATGTAGGTATAAAACCCAAGTTATGTACTTTTTACAGCAAAATTTAAGAAGAATGGTTTATCTCGTCATCAAAGAGCTTTCTTCACTAGCTGACGATGTCATTATAGTTACTAGCAGGTTGGCCCTTAATATGTTATGCTTTTTAGTTTGACAAAGGATATGACTGGCTCTGAATTGGCGTTTCGAGGTCCCGCGATTCGCGCTCTGTGTAAAATTACAGACGTATGTTTACTTAAAAAAATTACCTGAAAACTAAATAGGCAACTATGATTCAGAGTGTCGAAAGATACCTCAAGCAAGCTATTGTCGACAAGTCAGCAACAATCGCTTCGTCAGTTTTAGTTTCATCAATTCATTTGATGCGAATTGCTCCTGGTGTTGTTCGTCGTTGGACTAATGAGATAATAGAAGCCTCGAGTAGCTCAAAAATGATGGTTCAATATCATGCACTTGGTTTACTCTATCTCGTTCGGAAAAGTGATCGACTAGCTGTAACTAAACTTATACAGAAATTCACACGTTCGCCCTTGCGATCGCCCTATGCTCATTGTTTACTTGTAAGTTCTCTGATTACTATATTAACCCAAATTCAGGTTAGAATTGTTGCAAAACAGTTGGAAGAAGAAGGAATATCGTATGTTCATACAAATCTTTCTGCATTTTTCATGGTTAACTATACTAATGTATTCTTTTTTTTAGCAACAATCCCTCTCTTTTCGAATTTCTTGAATCTACCTTATGCATGAAAGCCGAAATGGTTGTCTATGAGGCCGCTCGCTCTATAGTTAGTCTTCGTGATGTGACTGCTAAAGAAATTGCTCCGGCAGTTAGCGTGCTGCAGTCCTTCTGTTCATCCCACAAACCTGTAATGCGTTATGCAGCCGTGCGTACACTTAGCGCTGTCGCAACTCGCCATCCTGCTGCAGTTACGGCGTGTAATCTTGATCTTGAAAATATGATAGCAGATTCAAATCGGAGCATTGCAACACTGGCCATTACAACCTTACTTAAGGTAAACCCGTTCATGTGTTTTTCATATAGATATCTTTAATGCCTTTGACAGAATATAAATTTTACTTTTATCCCTTACTTTCTCACAGACTGGTGCTGAAAATAATGTTGACAGGCTCTTGAAACATATTTGCTCTTTTATGGCTGAAATCACCGACGAGTTTAAGGTGGTAGTTTTGGAATCAATCCGCTTGCTCGCGACGAAATATCCCAGAAAGTACGCTGTATTACTAAATTTTCTTTCTGGCTTACTACGGGACACTTCTGGATACACTTTCAAAAAGGCGGTTGTTCTTGCAATGGAGTCTATAATAAAGGATATTCCGGAGGCCAAAAGCCTGGGTATTCGAAATTTCTGGCCTGCAGCTTTTCTGAAAATATGTTTGATGATTACACTTAGTTACTCTATTTCGTTTATTCTTACTTTTATGGAATCCTATTATACTTACTTTATAGGCGCTGAGAAATTAATTTCTTTTACTTTTGCTTGTTTAATTTACTCTGTTCATTAATTATATTTGAGATCGGAATGTCTCAAATATGTATTTCTTTTCCCCCATACTACTTGACGCTTTTTTATTATAGGCGTAGAATGGTGTTACATATTAGTTAGTATAATATTTGATAGTGTAAATAGGATATTTATTACTTCATATATAATGTATATGGCCGCTATTGGTCGCTACTATTGTAATAACTTAATTAAATGATTTTGACCCTTTATATTACATTTCTACTTTGATTGGACGATGAACTTCGACATATTCTATAGATTTAATGCGAGTTCTAGTATTAAATAAAGAGTATTCACATACCTTGTTCAATCATTATTTTTATTTATTAACCAACCTATTATAATGTTTTATTTTTCACTCGCAAACTCTCCCTGCTTCAGGCCTGCTACAGCTTTGCGAATTCATCGAAGACTGTGAGCATATGAAGCTGACTCAAAGAATCCTTTACCTTATTGGTCGTGAGGGACCATACCTGAATCGTCCTCGCCAATTTATAAGATATATTTACAACCGGGTAGTTCTCGAATCAGCTCCTGTAAAATGCACTGCGACTACCGCCTTAGCCAGATTTGGTGCTTACAATGAGGAGCTGAGGCCAAGCATTCTAGTTTTGCTGCAACGGTTTGCTCACTTTTGAATAGCTCTAATATAAAAATTGCACCTTCATTTTTTTCTTATATTTTGGCTCATTTATTTTAGCATCATGCTTGATGAAGATGACGAAGTGCGAGATCGCGCAACCTTCTATCACTATCTTTTAAGTTCATCAGAGTTGGTTTCCGACAAATCTATACGCAACTCATATCTTCTTACTGATGAATTACATCTCAGTCCTTCAGGTCTAGATCGGGCATTGCTTGCTTACACTCAAAGTCCATCAGCTGCGGAAGAGGCTCCTTTTTCCCTTTCTTCACTTCCACTTGCCTCTGCGGAAATCCAGGATCAATCAAGTGTTGTTGCTCTTGTAGATCAGTCATACCTCAACTCCCACGATGTAAACGGAGATGAAAGAGGTAAGGACTTTTTCCTATTTTTCCCTGCTTTTCATTGAGTAATTTTATTTAATCTGCTTAGTTTCTTTCGTCATAATAACCCTCGATCCATGAAGATTATCAGCTGAAGAAATATTCTACTAGTTTACTTTTATAATTGACTTTAATCTGTGAAAACTTTAATCTTAATTTTGATTTCACTTTTCCTAGATGGATACCTCCACTTTATCCTGCTTTGTGTATTGATATACTCATTTACTTTTTTTTGCATTTAATTCTCATTATTCTGTTCAATTTTATATTTAAGCCTACTTTAAATTTACTGATGCTAAAATTTATTATGTCAAATATCAGCACTTATTATCAACTCACTAAATCCCTTGAAACATCTACTATCAATATAACTACTAATAAATTAAGATTTATTGATACATACTCAATATGCATATCTAAGGAGAATTG